CAAACAGGAGGTGACCAGGGCATGAGTGACAGTGATTAGGTCCCTCTGATCTAGGAATGGGAGCAACTGGCGCACAACGCGAAGCTGTGCAACGGCTCTCCTAGCCACGACTGCCACCTGCTCTTTGAGCAGGAGTCGTGAGTCCAGGAGGACCCCCAGATTGCGCACAGGGTCTGTCTGGAGCAATGCAACCCCATTCAGTACAAAAGATGGCAAACCCCTAGAACCAGAGGGCCCCAGAACCCACAGCCACTCAGTCTTGCCAGGGTTCAGTTGAAGCCTGTTGTTTCCCATCCAGACCTTCACATAACAAGGGCTGAGGGCTGAATCTCTCCTCCCCATCTACCACCGACTGGAATTGGCCCTGGAGGAAGGAGGTGAACCAGCACAACACAGTGCCACCCACCCCCAATCCTCTGAGCCAATCCAGAAGGATACCATGGTTGATGGTATCAAAAGCCACTAAGAGGTTAAGTAGGGCAAGAATGGACGCACAACCCCCATCCCACCCTCACCAGAGATCATCCAAAAGTGCGACTAATGCTGTTTCTGTCCCATACCCAGGCCTGAATCCCAGCTGAAAGGGATCCAGATGATCCGCTTCATCCAAGGTCTTCTGAAGCTGTTGCACAATCACCTTCCCCAAAAAGGGGAGGTTAGATACTGGATGAAAATTGTCCAGTATAGTGGGGTCTAGCAATGGCCTCTTGAGGAGGGGGCAAACCAAAGCCTCCTTAAGAGGTGAGAGGACAACCCCCTCACTCAAACATGCATTAACCATCACTAGAACCCACTTGCACGACACCCCCCAGGCTGCTTTCACAAGCCAGGAGGGGCATGGATCTAAAAAGCAGGTGGCTAAGCCCAAGGACACTGTCCACTTCCTCAGGTCCAACAGGTTGAAACCATTCCCAGATAACAGGGCAAGACTCCTCTCTAAGCACCTCCACTGGACCTGCAGCAAAGCCAGCGTCCAACTGAGATGCTATAAGTTATGCTTACAATTATAATTGCCTGCTAATAGCATTGTGAGAGAGGTCAACCTTTAGTTAGGCCATTATGCTACACCAAATTCTTGATGGTCCCTGAGAACTGACTTCAGTTAATACTGAATTAACCCACTTTTGAGATTCATACAATGTGTTGAATCATAAACTAACTAAAGATCTGAGTTTACCTAGCCCGTTAAGTCACAACAAAGGAAACAAGGTACAGTGAAACCTCAATTTAATAAACCATTCTGGGGAAGGGTTATCCATTAAAAGTAAATGTTGATTAAATCTGAAGGTTTTCCCCTTCATATTTTCTTTCCCTTCCTGGATGTTGACATTCCTCTAACCCAGTGTTTCTCAACCTTGGCAGCTTTAAGATGTATGGACTTTAACTCCCAGAATTCCCAAGAATTGAGTTAGTCGAAAGTAGTGTTACTCAACCTTGACCACTTTAAGGTGTGGTCTTCAACTCCCAGAATTCCCCAGCCAACCATGCTAACTGGAGAATTCTGGGACTTGGAGTCCCACACATCTAAAAGCTGCCAAGGTTGAGAAACACTGCTTGAAGGGATGTCATTGCTAATGCTACCCTTAAGGATAATTGAAGAACCCTTACTGTCAGCAAAGAGGTAGTAGTTGGTAAAGTTTCTCCAGGTGGAATTATCTGGAGGTTGAGTCATGGCAACTGGACTTCTTTTCTTTTGGTTTGATACGTTTCGCTGTCCAAACAGCTTCTTCCGTCTAGAAAGTTGGTTAGCTTGGAGAAGCAA